AAACGAGCACACAGTCCACCTGATAATTAGTGGACGTTGTGGCCCACAGACATCTACATTTATCCTCAATTAAGGATCAAAACACAGATAAATTGTCACCCCTGTGGACTAAGATAGAATGCCTAGTTTCCAGTAAAAAAGGGTCTCCAGATCTCTACACTCACCTTACGAAACACAGCGGTATTAAGCTGCTATATCACGCTGGTATTCTGTGAGAGCGTGGTCGTTCCCCGGTCGAGCCGACCCATTCGAGCTACAACCATAATATAGCTGTAGCATGGCTTTACCACGTGTTACCTACTGACTGTTATCATACTGTCTTTCTCTGTATCTAAACTTAGACCGGAACACCGCGGTATAAGCACTGCTATTAGGCACACAGAAATAGGCTAGAGAGTGAAGAAAAGAGTCCTACCCTAGATGCTAGTTGTAGTAAAAGTGTATTTGAGGAATTAAATTCGATGATATGTGAATGCCGCCTACTTGCATTGAACTCTCTCGGCAGCATGCATGGCATACTCTTTGCCGCTATAAAAATTTCGGAAGTGGTCTGAAGTCGGCAGTGGGACACGTATTTAATTAATTTTATGCATGAAATATCTTTCATAAATAAATGGTCAATTATAAAGTTCAAATGTTACATGGTTACGTCATAGTTACGTTCAGTTACGTCTAGGATATCGTTAAGTTTGTACATTGATTATCCGCCTGTCAGATTACGCCCGTTAAGTTATTTTGAATTCAGTACATTACCGTTGTCACTGAGGAGCTAGTTGCGAGTCACGCATTATGTATTAGCACAACAGTGGCATAACTCGTTAATCCGACTTTCAAATGTTTCCATTGTTGCAATTAACGTATTTTCCACATTGGCTACATATTATACAATATTTAGCAACTTTATTTCAATACGAAATGCGATATTAGGTATTGCTTTGATGTTCAGTTCCTGTATTATTTTTAACTTTTTAGTTATTTTTTATCATCATCATCATCATTACAAATCCTCTGTTGAACGTGAGCTTCCACCAAGAAAAGCCACACTTTTTTATTCAGTTTCATATTACTTCCTAATGAAAGCCTTTTATCAATTTAATATTTATTCCTAGTCAAAGCCTTTTATATTTTATCAAGCCTTTTATATGTTACAAGGTTTACGAATAGAGAAAATCTTGTGTGTTTAGCCCACTTTCTTCATTAAGATTTGTATATCTTTTCTGTATTACGAATATTGATTTAAATAAATTATCTTTTCACGTAAGTGCTGTAATACATTTTCTTAAATTCACTCTCTAGTTCTCGTATGAGCCCTTAAAAAGGCAGACTCTACCGAGTTTATAGTTTAGGTGCTCACTAGAGTTCCGGTATCGGTTGTCAGTAATATAAGGATAGCACGTAATGTGACTTATGATAACGCATGTGCTATATTATTTTGGAACACATTTTTCTTATTGTGCATAGATGTATAATGGAGCCAATGTGGTCTTATGTAATTACAATTTCGATATTATCGAATGGGTGGGATCTGAGTCGCTAGACGAATTTGCATTGAGATGTTGGTTAACTGTTAACACACTCAACTGTGCTGGCTGGTTCTTATTGAGACTGTTTTATACTTTGTATTTAAAATCTGTCTGGTTACGTACAAGATAATTGTCGTCGGTTATTAGGTATTTATGTGAGCGGATGCTTAAAATTTTATGCTTAAATTACATTTATATGTAAAAATAATAATTTTCATTTAAAAACAACATTACTGCGTTGTTTTACGCATATTTTATAGGTGTACCTTATTTGTTATTTTAGATTATTATTGATGAAGCAAAATCTTCACAAAAATACTTTAAAGTCGGATTACTAATACAAAACTTTAAAGTCTGGCTTTTAAGTTTTAACACGTGGTAGAGCCATGCTGCCGCTATACATATTATGGTTGTAGCACGAACCGTCCGGCACGACCGGGGAAGAACCACGCTCTCACAGAATACCAGCGTAAAACAGCAGCTTAATGCTGCTATGTTTTGTATGGTGAGTGTAGAGAACTGAAGTCCCGCATCTGCAAATTTGATTCTTAATCGAGGTTAAATGTAGATGTCTATAGGCCACAGCATCTACTTACCATCAGGGGGACTGTCTGCTCGTTTGTCACCTTTATTCTATAAATAAAAATAGTAGGTCAGTAGGTAAGGTAGGCATGTGTACTTTTTTTTTTATATAGAATAGGCTGACAAACGAGCACACAGTCCACCTGATGGTAAGTGGTTGCTGCGGCCCATAGACATCTACATCTATCTTCCATTACAAATCAAAATGCAGATGCGTTGTCACCCATGAGGACTGAGATGGAATGCCTCATTTTCAGTAAAAAGGGTCTCCGGTTCTCTACACTCACCATACAAAATACAGCAGCATTAAGCTACTATTTGACGCTGGTATTCTGTGAGAGCGTGGTCCTTCCCCGGTCGAGCCGACCCATTCGTGCTACAACTATACTACTAATATAACTGCAGCATGACTCTACCACGTAGAAACTTTGTAGCATTTTAGTTTAAGCCTGAAAACTTTTTAACTCCATATTTTGACATCCATGTGAATGATAATATATTCCATCAAAGTTCTCGGGGAAATAAAAATAAACTTAAAAAAGTAAAAACCGTCTTATAAAACTACTAATATATAATAATATATTTATTTTTTAAATATTTAAAATCTTAAATGTAACACCTTAAGGTAAAAGAGGGTACATAGGGCAGACTTAATGCCATGTGGCATTCTCTGCCGGTCAACCCTGGGTGCCAAAGACAATTGTTGGCAGTTGCGAAACATAATACATAAATTAAGTGTACATATATTAAAATATATATACATAGTACTTACATACACAACACATTTAAATATACATACATATAACATCTATACAGGCTGTCCCGATACTCATTGTCAAACGTATATTATTCAAGTAAAAAAGTTTGTTTAAAATTAAGTCCTTTTGGAAGTAAATACTTTTTCAAGTTTTTTGTACACTTTGAATGGAATAAGAAATATCTCAAAAATTGAGGTAACAACTAAAATGTCGTCTAAATAGTTACATAAAAACTTCTTTCCCTATTTCCCCATCCGTAGGGGTGATTTTTTTTTAATAAAATTATTTTAAGTTCCCCTGTAAAATTGTGGCCATGCTAGACAATCACATAATGTGCGAGACTGTGTATTTAGGCTTTGTTTACATACGATTGATGCCTGTCGTGCTTGCTAAGTGCGTTTAGTTGTAGTTAAGTCGCGAAGTCAATAATAGAATGCGTGATTGTTAACGCAGATATTATATGCGACCTACTATTTTATCAACTCTATTCGTATTGTGCCATTTGTTAGAAAGTGTGATACAGTTTCTGTTTAGTGTTTATGTTACCCTCGGATATTGCAATTTAGGACTGCCTTAATCTGTAAGGCTTGATGATACCACCGAATCTTTGTCATTAATAAAGGAGGTTTTATTAGAAAGTGGTATTATTTGTCTTTAGTGATATCTACTTTCTTCGATGTCAACACAATTTGTTATTATATATATATATATATATATATATATATATATATATATATATATAGATTTGTTATTATATGACATATCCTTCTTTTATCGTTGTTTTTTATTAGGTAATTGATTAACCGTAACCCAAATTTACTGTATTTGTAATTTGCAATTTAGCAAATATGTTTTCTTATTAATTATTAAATATAGTAGTAACAATAATAGTCAGACAGGGTTTGAGGTTTTTTCGTTTACCGCCCTTGCTTTTGAAAATATGTCCATCTTCCTGTCAGTTTAGGGAGCTACCAATAGTTATCATGAATTATCCATTATCCATTACAGCCTATAAAAGTCCACTGCTGAACATAGGCCTCCTTCATAGATTGCCTCATTGAAGGATTTTGCCATAGTTGCCACGCTTGGCAATTGGGTTGGCAATCACAGTTTTTATTTGTATTTTGAGTTGTTATCAGGGAGTTGCTGCCGCCCATCTCCTGATGCATTTCCGCTTTGTCGTCTCTTGCGACATCCTCGGGACGATACGGTGCAGTGGATACTCTTACACCGCACACAGATTATATTAAACATTAAATTTATTTGTTGTCATAGGATAAACAACTAAACGAACCATAACTGTACTATATAGAAGCTTTATAATTGCTTAATTTTCCCGTTATAATTATAGATAGAAGCACTTTTTTATAGTCATTATTTCCGAAAACACTTACACTGGTCGTTCTCACGATCAGGTGCGCGAGAGCTGATAACAATCGTTCAAATATTTACGCTCAGATAACTGCATTAACGGATACCCAGGGAGAGGCTATCCGCGTTAAAAGATTACAAATATCCGAAACTCTAACTATCATCTTATAGTTATTGTGGTATATGATGCTTATCCAATGTTTACAAATATTTTCACTTCTATATTTATGCTGTTAAATATATGTCATAATTAGTGTTTTTAAGAGTAAACATAATTGTAAATCGTACATAAACATTTGGATGGCTTTTAATTTAGATAATAAAACTTTATTTCAAAGTGTAATTATTTCTTCGTATTTTATTTTATACTTTATTCGTGTTTTCCTTAACATTAAAATACTATGTAAGTTGCACACGTACTTTAAATCTAGGTATTGTAATTTTTAGAGGTCTTACCTTAACGTGCAACTGCATACCTGATTTACTTACATTAGCGACCTATATTTTCCTTCGTTCTAGATCTTGTCAGAACTTCCAATTTCTTAATACGCTCTGAACTATATTTTATCTGTACTTAACCGTTTGTGCATTAATTTTATGGTTGATCATATCTTTTATAATCTGTACCGTTGGCACGATTCCAATAAATAACCGTTTTGATAGATACCTGCGTGGTCAAGAAAAAAAACTCAAGCTATGACCTCAGAACATGTCATATCCTGAAAGCGAATGTACGCTTGATGTTGATAACTAAGTCGAGTGAAGAATGTTTCATATCCAAGGTACGTTTGAACAATCTCTGCGCTGCGGCGACGATGTTTCGCCTAGTAGAAACAAATCATTAGCGACTTTGGCTAAAATACATAAACATTGTACCGGAAAAGCGCATGCCCATGGCTGTCTTGACAACAAACATAACGCTATCGTCAAATCTGATTCAAATACAAGCATACAATCCAAAAAATCATTCCGCGGTGAATGTTTTATAGAAATAAAGGAAGCAAAACCGGATAACAATTTTCCGAGGGGTAATGGCTCTTTCACTAAAAGTTTTAGTAACAGCACCAGCTCCTACGATGGCCACAGCGACTCTGATTCGGAGAGCACATCCAGAACTCGCGCAGATCATAAAACCCCAAGTGCAGCTGGTGAAAGATTGTTTACTCAGAGCACGAAAGCGTCGTTGATGAAAACAGCACGCATGAGGTATGCAGACGACAGCGTTTTGGCATCACTTCACGACGAAGTTGACGGCGAGAAGTGGAAACAAACGTTCAACAGAACTCCATCAAGATCTAGCTACAGGGAAAGAAAAGCTGGTGTTGTAACTATTGAAGAAGTAAAATCGAACGGACTGAACGATGATGAAATAAATGGAGATGACAAGAAAAAGGCGCAATCGCAAAACAAAATTCAGCCCCATAGAAGAGGTTCTTTTGGAAGTAGTCCCGTTACTGGAAAAAACACTTCAAATGGTAATAAACCTCCGTGGAGAGGTGCTAGTAAAAATGGAAAATCTACAGAGTCTTTTGTACGATCACCACCTCTTCGTGGCAGTGTTAAAAAGAAGAAAATCGACGGAGTTCCATGGCGAAGGCTGTACGAGTTAGCGCTGTGGAGAAAGTGCGGAGTGAGTTTTGCTTCCGTCGGGGCGGAGACGGAGCGTGCACTTTTACGTCCGTGGAGCGAGATGTCTTCGCAGGAATCGCCTGCACCTATTACGGTAAGTCAGGCATCAATCAGCGGCCGAAGGCAATTTTTGATTCAAACCTTATTTGGCAGTTATTGATTGTTTCCACTCCTTGTTATCGGCATGGAGTGCACGATTTTGAACATTGTTTTACCTAACACGCAGTAGCGTGATCATGCGCTTTATTACGGCCCCTGTTCCTTTTCCGACATGCTTTTTAAATTATAAATGGTTTAAAGGGTTCGCTATGAAAGTGGAGTTTCATAATCTTATCTTGCCAGCGAGCGAGTTGACTCGCCTTTGTTTGCACTCAAAAGTTACGGATATTCCTAAATGGTTTATTGTAATATTTGCTTAATGAGAGATAAACTTACATTTTAGCTTTGTTATTTTTGAAACATAGTTACAGAAAAGCAGCCCCTTTCGGTCTCAAGCGGTCGACGTATTGATATAACATTATCTGATTATTTATAAGAAACTATGCTCAGTATATAGGTATAAATTAAGTTGCTTAAGTGAACACGCAACTTGCTTAATTAAAAATCGGACTACTCTGTAAAAAGTTATGCGTGGTCATACATAAAAAAATATATACGCGTCGACTTGAGTACCTCCTCCGTTTTTTCGTCAGTGGAAAAGGCAAAGCGGGTACGATGTCTAATGTTTGTACTGCGAACTGTATTCGAATCAGCATTTCAAGAATCAGACTGAACTATGAAGGTGGTTGTATTGCATTGTAATGTCCATATTCTCTAAAAAAAATTACGTGTCCCAACCCGCTAGCCAAGCGTGCCAACAATGGCAAATATCCCCCTATGAGGCAACATATGGGGGAGTTCAATGTTCAGCAGTGAACTTTGATAGGCTGTAACAGTAATGTAACGATCCATATTCTAAAAAAATGTATAACTTGGACTTATAGCCATATTGTGATTTCAAATTCACTTCGCAAACAAAAAATTCGTAAGGAGGATATTCGAAGCAGATAAAGAGTCATTGACATAGCCCAATAGATTAATAACTTAATAAGCTAAAAAGAAATGGCTTAAAGAACCGACAACCGACTTTTGCTGTGACACTGTGTGACAGCCTCGAACCAGAAAGCGCCAAGCAATACAGCCCATGATGATGTAAAAACCTGATGAAGTATGGTGAAAATTGATGGATGCAGGTGACACAAGGCCTAATGTTTTTTGTTAGTCTAGGGTAATCTGTGGGGCGAGGTAGTATTAGCTGTGGATTTGTGAGGGGCTTATTGTATTTATCTAAACTTAAAAATAAATTTAAATTGATTGTGCAATCTTGTTTCCTAAATATATATTTAATACATTTTTAATGTGTCTTTTATAAATTCAAAATGGCGAACGCAAATGACCTTTCCAGATCAGCCTTGAACGTGATTTTAATACCTCTAAAATTTTATTGCCATTAGCATTTCGGGCGCCAGCGCTACAAAATTACCTTTGCAACAGTGTCAAAAGGTCCGTTTACATGTCATGAATACAAATAGATAATTTATTAAAAAAATATCGTCCTGGCCTCTAAATATATTTAACTTGTCGCTACTATCATAGAAACATGTTTTTAATAATATGTTTTGTCATCTGCCATTTTAATCTTTCAAGACCTTTCCAAGAATGCGCTAGCTGAAGCACGATGTTCTCTCTGATTTGGTATGTAATTCTTTGATCTTACTGATATAATAGAAAAAACTGAACAGGTTATTTGAATAAAAAAATCGTGAGTGCAATTAGTTTAATTTAAATTTTCGTGTTTTTAAAAAATACTAAAATAAGGGCTCGAAATAATAAATTTTCTCAAAAAAGAAGGGAACTTTAAAAAAAAAAGGAAAAAAGTCGGACCGAAAACAGGACTCGTACCAAGGTACTATGATTTCAAGACCGACCGATATATATATATATATATATATATATATATATATATATATATATATATATAAGAATTGCTCGTTTAAAGGTATGGGATATTATAAGCTGCAATCTTACAAACAACAAAACTTATATAGAAATATAAATTATCTAATTAAAGTCTTTTCCATGCGCATGATCGCGGAGAAGTTTTTGGCCAAAAACCAAAAGGTTTTTTGTGCGTTCATGGACTTGGGGAAAAGGCCTATGACAGAGTGGATAGGGATGTGCTATGGCAAACACTGAACTCATTTGGGTTGAGCGCTGGCTTGATACAGGCATTGGAGTCTCTTTATAGGGACTCTAGTGCTTGTGTTAGGATCAACGGGATCTACTCGGACCGGTTTGACATCCATAAAGGTGTCAGACAGGGCTGTGTGGCTTCCCCGTGGCTGTTCAACCTATTTATGGACAGTTGTTTGCAAAATTTGAAAGTTGAAGAATGCGGGTTAAGAATGGATGAGTTAACCATCAAATGTCTTTGTACGCCGATGATCAAGTTATTCTTGCGTCGTCGGCGGCCGAGTTGCAAATGATGGTTACATTAATGAACAGATCATTAAAAGAAAGGGGTATGAAAGTGAACGCAAGTAAGACGAAGGTTATGGTTTTTGAAAGAGAAGAAAGTAAAACGATTTGTGAAATAGGAATAGAAGGGGAGTTGGTCGAGCAAGTAGATGAGTTTGTATATTTGGGCTGCGTATTTAGCAGGGATGGGAGATATGATAAGGATATAGAACGACGAGTGAAGGCGGGAAATAGAGTAAATGGGGCCCTGCACTCTATTGTGAAGAGTCAAAATGTGTTAAAAAAGGCACGTATGGCAATTCACAATGCTGTGTTGGTCCCTACTTTAACGTATGGTAGTGAAAGTTGGGTGTGGCAGAAGAAGCACCAGAGTAGAATCAACGCAGTAGAAATGCGGTCCTTAAGGAGTATGTTAGGGCTGAATCTGACGACAGGGTAAGAAATTGTGTAATAAGAGTGGTTTGCAAGATGATGTTGTGACCAGGATTAAGAAAGGAATGCTTCGGTGGTTTGGTCATGTGGAAAGAATGAATGAGGAAAGAGTGACAAAGAAAATTTATGTTGCAGAAGTGAATGGCAGAGTCGGAAAGGGACGTCCTAGACGAAAATTTATCGACCAAATTGGCGATTTATTGAAAACGGGCCAAATTAGGAGTACCCTTAACCGACGAGCATGTATGCGGAGGTGTAAGGATGTGAAGGAGGCGAGAGAGGTGTTTCAGGATCGTGCCAAATGGAAGTCTGTAGTCTCTGCCTACCCCTCTGGGTGACAGGCGTGAGTGTTTATGTTATTATGTTATGTTTACACTTGTAAGGCAGGTGGGGCAGTTCATTAATATTATTAAGAACTCTTATCTATATACATATCGATATTAAATATCTCTTTCCTCATGACTCTATTTGATTGTATATTTTATTCAAAGTTTTTATTAAATTTGAAATAATGTTCTCAATTTATACACTAGCGATCCGCCCCGGTTTCGCACGGTTGATTTTCTGGATCTTGAAACTCTTGAAACTCACCAATTGTAAATCTAAATCATTAATCATCCCCTTTATTGAAATGGTCTTGCCGTTTAGGAGTTTAGTGACAAACACACATACAGACTCAGCCGTGGTAGCTCAGTGGTTAACGCTCGCTGTAAATATAACAGAACGCGAGTAACCCGGGTTCGATCCCCGCCGGCACCAATGAAATTGTTAATTGCAATTTTAAGTGCTGATTTACCACGTGCTCGGCGGTGAAGGAAAACATCGTGAGGAAACCTGCATGTCTGAAAAATAAGAAAAAAAAATATTTCGAAGACATGTGAAGTTCGTCAACACGCATTTGGGTAGCGCGTCGGACACTTCCTTGCCCTAAACCCTCTCAGAAATGAGGGGAGGCCTGAGCCCAGCAGTGGGACGTATATAGGCTGTAACTTTTACTTTACTTTTTACACACACCTTTAAACGAGAAATTCTTATGTATATATATAATCGGAATCTCGGAAACGGCTCCAACGATTTTCATAAAATTTAGTGTCCAGGGCGGTTTTTAGGGGGTTTCAGGGGCAATAAATCGAACTAGCTAAGATTCATTTTTAGAAAATGTCGTTTTGTCCGTGTTTTCAGGCAATGAAAAACTGCTACAATATAAGAAGGTAAATTTTGACACTGTATTAATGATCGTAATAGCTCAAGTGGATATGGGGCCATCGCGAAATCAAAGTTCAAGATTCGCGTTCTGTCTTCGGTCCGACTTTTTTTCCTTTTTTTTCAAATTCCCTTCTTTTGTGAGAAAATCTATTATTTCGAACCCTTTTTTTAGTATTTTTTTAAAAATACGAAAATTTAAATTTAACTAATTGCACTCGTGATTTTTTTATTCAAATAACCAGTTCAGTTTTTTCTATTATGTCAATAAGATAAAAAAAAATATTATTCATGTGTCATTAGTATGTAATTTTGTATCTAAATATAATTTCGCGAACGATTTCCAAAAAAGAAATATCGAGGAAAGCTCGGTCATCCAGGTACTTATATATAAAAAGATAGCAACTCACGAGGAGGAAATGCGATTCTGTAGTTTCTTTTACAAATATCTTAACAAATATTGTATTCAAGCCTGCACAGAGATTTAAAACTTCAGAAACTAGAATATTGTGACTTAGGCATATTTTGATTTAAATAACTTTGATTTCAATGTTGATACTTATTTTTGCTTATAACTAAAAGTGTTATGAGAATGAAAAAATACCCGATAGTTTAATGTACAAAAAAAAAGTTGAAAATGAACTCATTAATAAATTAAAATCTTTAGTTATTTTCAAAATTGCTTTTAGCCAAAGTAATTAATGACTACATTACTAACGAAGACGCGATATCATTTAATAGTTTAAGACATTACACAAGAATGTTGTTTGTTAACACTTATTTAATTATTGACAAAAATTACAGAAAATAATTTGTTTGCTAAACAAATTGTCATAAAAATATACATACGATCCGCGTCATTCATATTGTCGATATTTGTGTCTAAATAAGTTGATTAAAGGTAAAAATATACAAATTTACTTTAAAATATATCCACACCGT